ATAGCTGGAAAGAGGCAACAGGAAAGCAAACAGCAACACAGACCCACATTCCAACTTACTCTGTATAGAGGTTTCCAGGATGACACCGGACAGCCTGAGACACTTATACATTCTGGAGATGCTGAGCATTTGGAGAATGCATCTGGCTATGTCCCAGTAGTGGCAGGTCTTAGAGAACACAGCCATCCCATATCCTCTTCCTGGACCCACAGGATTGCTCCACATGATTGGCCTTCCCTCGGTTATGATAGTCACACGACTGGGCCTAGCCAGGGTCCAATACATTTATGCTCACTATAAAGGCAACTCTCATACCGTCTCCTCAATGACAAAAGACTAGAGTACCTTTGCTCTTTGCTCTGTAACTCTGAACATCTTGTGCTACAGAGAGACAATAGTTCATCTCCAAATCTAGGGTATTTTACACACAACCCAGACAGAGGCTTGAAAAAGGCTTTGCTCTTTGCTGTTTTTGCTCTTGGTGTTGGGCAAAGTACCTTGAGTCCTTCCTCAGTTGACAGTCTGGAACAAGATGAAACCCTGTGGCCCTGGCAATTCAGCTAATCCTGTGCATAGTTGTTGAGACACCATAGAACTGCCAACCAAGTCCGGAAAAACTCCTATCACACAGTCTCACAAGCTGTGTACATTAGTTTGTTTTTTTTTTTTTGTCTGTCATGGGACTTGAACTCTGGGCCTGGGTGCTGTCCCTGAGCTTTTTAGCTCAAGGCTAGCACTCGCTTGAGCCACAGCGCCACTTCCAGTTTGTTTTTTTTTTCTGAGTGGTTTATTGGAGATGAGTCTCACAGACTTTTCCTGCCCAGGCTGGCTTTGAACCATACCAGATCTCAGCCTCCTGAATAGCTATTATTACAAGCATGAGCCATCAGTGCTGGGCCTTTTAAATATTTTTATTGTCATTTAAAATGTGATGTACAGAGGGATTAGAGTTATGTAAGTCAGATAAAGAGTACATTTCTTCTTTTTTTTTTTTTGTCAGTCGTGGGGCTTGAACTCTGGGCCTGAGCACTGTCAGCTCAAGGTGAGCTCTCTACCACTTGAGCTACAGCGCCACTTCTGGGTTTCTGGTGGTTTATTGGAGATAAGAGTTTCACGGAGTTTCCTGCCCAGGCTGGCTTTGAACTGCGATCCTCAGATCTCAGCCTCCTGAGTAGCTAGGATTACAGGCATGAGCCACCAGCGCCCGGCTAAGAGTATTTTTCTTTTTGGACAATGTCACTGCTTCCTTCACTCTCTCCCAGTGTTTCCCTCCCATCCCCACCCACAAGTGCTATAGTTCATTTTCAGCCAAGTGTCTAGTAAGTAGCACTGTTGCATTTGTTTACCCTGTCTCCCTCCATTTCTGTAAGCATGCCCTCCATCTCAGGTTCTCAGCCTCTCCCACAAAACCAGTTGATCTGACCAGGTTTAACTGCAGTTGGCCTTCAGCCCTGGCTCCTCCCACTTTACTTCCCAGAGCCCTGATTTACCCCTATCTCCCAGCTGCATCAGGGAGTGAGCCTAACTTGTCATTGTTACAATCAGAAAACCCCACCCCAGCTAGTGCTGGCTTTATCACTCAGCTGCACACACACAGGAGACTTCCCATCTTCCCTCCCCTAGCCTCCCTGAATATAAATTTGACCCTGAACAGGCACCATTTTTCTTTCTCTCATGGGAGAGGTGGCCTTGTCAACCTCTGCTGGCAATAAACTGCTTCTCCATACATAGGTATGTCCATGTGGTTTTCTGGGAGGGGGCTTATATTGGTGCTGTGACTCAGATCCTAGGCTCCCCCACCCCACCCCCACCCCAGTGACTTTACTCTTCCCCTCTTGGGAAATCTGAGCTGTCCCAGGGAGCCCCCTGCTGGGTCCAAGCCCACTCAGATAACTGCCAAGGTGAATTCCTCCTAACGGAGTGCCACTTCCTATGTTCAACATCAGCTAATCCACCCCTGCTTCAGTGGTGCGTGACAATCTGGGGCTCCAAATTCACAGGATAAAAGCTTAGTACCAAGTCATCTCCCTCTCCCTCCACACACACTGCCCCAGGAGGCCTAGGCCACTAGGCTGGGGATTTAACAATTGTATGGTGACCCCTTTTGTTGTTTCCCTTAAGTTCTATGGACCCAGCAACTGTGGGTGACCACCCCTCTTGATGCTTGCTCCCTCCTTTAGTTGACTGGAGATCCCCAAGGATGCTGTGGAGTCTCTAGCATCTAAAATTCCTCAAAATTCTCCTCTAGGCTGTCTTCTGTCTAACTTTGAGACACTACTTAAAGCCTCATAAGCTCATATGGCTGTACAATCAAATCTGGCCCCAATATTCACTGGACAATGAGTCCACATAACCCCTTCATAGGACACTGGACTCCAGTATTTTATGGGGCCTGTATATAGAGGCACCCAGGCAAGTAAAAAGGCCATTTATTTATTTATTTTTCTTGGTCATGGGACTGGAACTCTGGGCTGGGGCGCTATCCCTCAGCTCTTCAGCTCAAGGCAAGTGCTCTACCACTTGAGCCACAGTGCCACTTCAGGTTTTCTAGTGGTTTATTGGAGATAAGAGTCTCACGGACTTTCCTGCCCGGGCTGGCTTTGAGCCATGATCCTCAGATCTCAGCCTCCTGAGTAACTAGGATTATAGGCGTGAGCCACTGGTGCCTGGCTAAAAAGGCCATCTCTCTCTCTCTCTCTCTCTCTCTCTCTCTCTCTCTCTCTCTCTCTCTCTCTCTCTCCCTTTCCCTCTCCCTCTCCTTGCTGTACACAGTTGGTTCAGATTCTCTAAACTAAAACTGTCTGCTTCAAACTCTTTCTAATTCTCTCTCCTTGTGCCTGCCTGCCTGCCTGCCTGCCTGCCTGTGTGGCAACCTTCAGCCGACACAAGATGGCGGTGGAAATAAGCCTCCAAAGAGCAGCTCAGTCTGTCTCTCATTCCCCTTTTTTATTCTCTCTCTCTCTCTCTCTCCCTGTCTTGCTCTGTGCTTCTCAAGGTTAGCAATCCTGGCCTGAAATTCTCTCAGATAACATTGCTCCTCACTCACTCTAGATCAAACCTCTCCTATTCTTTCTTCAGATACTGGAAATTAACACCTGCCTAAAAGGGACAAAGGCCACATGGTGTTTTTTTTGTTGTTGTTGGTGGTGGTGGTTGTGGGCCTGAACTCTGGGCCTGGATACTGTCCCTCAGCTCTTCAGCTCAAGGCTAGCACTCTTCCACTTAAGCCACAGTGCTACTTCTGGCTTTTTCTGCTTATGTGGTGCTGAGGACTTGAACCCAGAGCCTCAGGCATGCAAGGTAAACATTCTACCACTGAGCTACCTTCCCAGCCTACTTGGTGGGTTTTTCTACAACCCTCACTTAACACCAAATTTACTCCTCTAGATATTCAAAGGTTACTTCATATACTAATATGTCTTATTATCAAAAATTGATTTAAAGGTTTTCTGTTCTTATTATCAATATACATAAACATGGAGATCTGTTAAATTCTGCTTGTTAACTCTCTGGATTGTAATGACCTGAGAGCGAGAAAATCCACAGACGCACGGTTAAAGGTGACAAAGGAGTTTTATTAGTCCATCTGCAACAGCCATGTCCTAGGCTACCTCAGAACTAGGAGCAGCTACAACCTCCAAGGCTGCGAGATTTTCTTCCTTTTTCCTCCTTCCTCCTTCCTGTAAGCCTCACCTTTCCACAGGTCTCTCCACTTTCAGCAAGCCTCTCCACAGGCCTCTCCACTCTCCTCAGGCCTCTCCTTAGGCCTGACTCTCTTTAGGCCTCTCCACTGGCCTGGGTTCTAGAGCCCAGGCATTGATGCTGTCTGGCAAGCACCTCTCTTGTGGCTTCATGGGGGTATCTCTTGTTCTCTATCCCCCTTCCCCAGAACATTCAGCCTGAATATGTTGGATCACCCGCCCCTCCCCCTTATTCCCCCTTCCCCAACCAGCAGACCAGCATGGTGATATCAGCGTGGGGCAGGACTTCTCAAATGCCCCTCTGGTTCTCACATTCCCCACTGGTTTTTGTGTCCAATCAAATCATTGATTCTTATGTTCTTCTTTTGGGCCAAATCCTAAACTCCCTGGTAGGAGGAGGCAGGTCCAGCAGATAATAAGAGGCTATCCTTAAACTTTTTTCAAATGGAATCTCCAGGTTGGAAGAGATGGGCTGGATCTTGGCTGGGCTGCAGTGGTGTTTCCCAGTGGCTTTGGTGATTGTCATACCTCCTGCTGGGTTTCCTACAAATTTCTACATAGACTGGTTAAGGATACATTATATAGGCTTGGAATGCTAAGGCCCTACTAGTTTTCAAGACAGTTTTAGGCAATGGCCTGGTTATGAGAGGGCTAACAATTTCTGTGTTCCCCTTTAAACTCCCAAAGATAGACAAACCCACCTTCACCCACAAGTTGTGTAGTTCATTTTTAACCTAATGTCTAATAACACTGTCACATTTGTTCACCATTTCTCCCTCCATTTCTGTGCTCCCCTTTACACTCTCAAAGACAGATAAAGGAACAAAGGAAACAAAAAGAAAAGAAATATAACCAGAAAAAAATCTTGCTTAATTATGATTTTTTTTGTTGTAGTTGTTGTTGTTGTTGTTGTTGTGGGGCTTGAACTCTGGGTCTGGGCACTGTCCCTGATCTCTTCAACTCGAGGCTAGTGCTCTACTGCTTTGAGCCACATATCATTTTCAGTTTTCTAGTGATTAATTGGAGATAAGAGTCTTTCTTGCCCAGGTTGGCTTGGAACTGTGATCCTCAGATCTCAGCCTCCTGAGTAGCTAGGATTACAGGTGTCAGCACTGGCCCCTGGCCCCATTGAATTGTTTTTAATACAACATTAATGTGACCTTATGTGATTGAAACTGGTAGCTCAGAAAACCTGAATGGAGCAGAGCCCCTAAGTCATATGGACTTGGATATATACAAACAATGAGCTTTAATTGTCCATATTACTGCACTATCACGGTTTGCTTCTGAACTATAGCAGAGTGGAAAGGACATCCTGAGAGATTACAGGCCCTCTTCCTGGGCAGAAGGGAGGTCATACCTGAATTGGATTGAATAAATACCTACTATCCTCCAAAATATAGTTATGTAGTATTGGCCTGTCTTCTGGAAGCCCATTCCCTGGTAAAGGGCCTGAGCACCTGGTTGTAATGCTCCAGTCTCAAGGACAACCTCACTAAAGCCCTGGTCCCGGGCAAACTGGAGGACAGTCCTGACCATGGCTTTAGCTATCCCCTTTCCTCGGTGCTCCAAGGCCACAGACATGCGAAACAGCTGTAACTGCTTCTTCCCCAAGGGAGGATCTTTGACAGGCACGGCACCCACCATGCCCACCACCTGCCCCTCACACTCAGCCACCCAGAAGCTCAAGTAGGGAGCTCAAGTAGGACTTGGTGATGTCAGCCAAGTCTGTGTGGGAACACATGGCCACATACTGCTTCCAGGGGAATCTGGCAATGAACCACAGGAAGAGGAGCAGAGTGAAGATACACGCAATGGCCAGTATCCATGAGCCATAGACCAGGAGTAGTGAGAGCGGCATCCCAAATAAGAGCAGGAGTGTTTTGGGCAGCTTTAGCAGGTATTTGAAGGTGGTAGGGATGTGCTCTTCCATGCCACTGGTGAACAAGGCCAGGACCTGTGTGTGGTCGCTCTCCTGGTACTTGCGGATGTAATAAGGAGCCATGGGGAGATGTCTGTGTCTGAAATCTCAGTGTTCAGAAGAGACCAGTAGACTTGTCTTCACACTTTCCTGTATCCCTATAAAAGAAAGAAGACGCCATTGAGTTTTCCTCCAATAGCTCCCAGCCTCCCTGGAAACATAGAAACCCTGTTAAACAAATGGACACCTGAAACCACCACTGTGAGAAAGTATAAGATCAGAAACACCTGATTAGAACCGTGATTCCTCCCTTTCTAGCTGTGTGGTGTTTGCTATGTCACTAACTGCTCAGGGCCTGAATATCATCATCTATACAACAGGTTATGGTAATACCTCCTTCTAAGGTTGTTTTGAAGATTTAACAACAGTAACTTGCTTGGAGCACTGAGATATATAAATTCTATGCCTCCATCAGAAAGAATGACATCGCTCCATTTGTTAGGAAATGGAAAGACTTGGAAAAAAAATTACATTAAGTGAAGTAAGCCAGACCCAAAAAAACATAGTCCCATGGTTTCCCTTATTTGCAATAACTAGTATATGTCTGGGACAAGCAGAAAAGATCAGATAAGATGATGTTAAGTGAAATGAACCCCAAGATAGGGACACAAGTGGTTTTTTTCTTTCTTGCCATTGTTGCTAAAGTATTTATAAGGTACCATGTGATTTTTTTTTTTGTTGCTTTGTATGTCCCTCCCCCACAGTATAACCCCTGGTTTCACTGTATTTGATGTTGGTATAATTTGGGGAGGGGAAGGGAAAAAACAAAGTGTTTAAATAGAGATTGACCCATTGCAACAATGACGCTATGTTGAAAAACGAACATTACAATTTAGGTGGAGGGAGGGGGATCGAGGTGGGGAAGTTTAGTTGTGGAGGTGGGAGGGAACAGATAGTAGGCGAAAAACAAAGGAGGAGGCAACAATGCTTGATAAGAAATGTACTCATTACCTTGCTCATGTAATTGTAACCCCTCTGTAAAGTATTTTCACAATAAAAAAACTTCCAGGAAAGCAAAGCCAAAGACCTCCAGGTGCCTTCCAAAGATTGTTATTGGGGAAGATGTTAAAGATAAATGAGGAGGATTATGTCAGCGTTTTTGAAAAAGCAGTCTTGGCAAAAGGTTTAAATCTTAGGGGTTCAGGGATCAGTAGTCACACTGACAACACCCCCACTGAACCCTCAAGTCATTGGACAGACATCCTGACAGGAATGTTGCTGGCTGAAGGTAGTGAGGGACTTTGTACAGTGTGTGGCCCTATCTAGGTCTCCAGTGAATATATTTTCCATTAGAACATTTATCTAGCCATTTATATGGCTAGAAACTGATAAAAAGTGACTGGTTCCATTCTGATTACTCCCACCAGGGACCTGGAGTGATGAACATGACGAGTTTTTAAGTGTACAGTTTATAATCGCTGACGACATTCACCGTGTTATCCATGAGAACTGGTTTTAGTATTTGTCTTTCTTTCCATCTAGCCCTCAGCCTTAATGCCCCAGGCTGAAGGCTTCCATCCAACACCCCAGAACTAAATTCTTGGACTGAGAATCTTATAGGGCCTAAGTCCTGGCACAAACAGTATGTCTGGAAGACAATGGCTAGACAGGCTTCCCCGACTTTGGGGAGGAGCTAAGTCCTCTCTGACCTTGAGGTGATGGTGAGTGACTTGGACATTGAGGACAGGTGCAGGGTCCAGGTGGGATGGGGTGGGGATTCAGTCACAAGGCTGGGAATTCCTGGCAGAGCAGATGGCTTGCATTTGAGCCTGAGAGGTCTCACTATTTAGTGCAGGGACAAAGACAGACTTTCCTAAATTCTGAAGTTCATGGCTGAGGGTTTCAGAGACGTGTGGCCCAGCTCAAAACTAAGGAGATTATCCATCCCTAGTCAAGTAACTGGTTGGGCTGAAACAAATTTCTGAGTTTTCTACATCAAAATTTCAAAGTTTCTATGATGCCTCGAAAGTTGAGACTGAAACAAGAACAGTTTATTTGAATGATGACTAAATAATGGCAGGTGTCCCAGAGATCTTCAAAGCTGGCTTCAATTTTACCTTAGCTAGCAAAATCTTATGCCCGAGAAGATAAGGAATGTGATATACCTGGATGCAAAAGCTTGCATGAGCCATATCTTGTGGTGAGACTGAGTGGTGACCATGGTAGAACAAAGGAAAAAATGCAGCAACTTGACCTATCCCAACTGTTTGTTTCCATTCCTTAGCATTATGAACATATAGGCTGGATATGAAAATACAGGGTTTATTTCTTTATACATATGTGTGTGTGTGTGTGTATGTGTATGTGTGTGTGTGTGCACACTGATCCGGGGACTTGAACTCATAGCCTGAGCTATTTTGCTCAAGGCTAGTGCTTTACTACTTGAGTTATTGCTTGCTCTACTGGTAGCTTTTTGGTGGTTAATTGGAGATTTAAAAAAAAATCTCATGGACCTTCTTGTCTGGGCTGGCTTTGAACCACAGTCCTCAGATCTCAGCCTCTTGAGTAACTAGGATTACAGGCATGAACCACCAGTACCTGGATTGAATAAGCAGTATTATGTTAAGATATTAAGCAAGGTCACCTATAGTAGCTCCTGCCTATAAACTCAGCTGTACAGGAAGGGTATGGAAAAGGATCATGGATCCAGGTCAGGCCAGGTAGAAAGCATATAACTCTGTCTTAGAAAAGAACAAAAAACAAAAGAAAAAGAAAAGCAAAGGGATTCTGGGTATAGTTCATGTGGTAGAATACTTGTTTTCCAAGTGTGAGAACCTGGGTTCAAACCCTAGTACTCTCAAAACTCAAACAAAAACCATTTATCAAACTAATTTTTTAGTAATTAGATATAAGATAAAATATCCCCTTACCATTTTTGTGTTGGCCTTGAATTCCTGGTAGTCTGTTCAGGAGTCACTCCTTTCAGAAGAAAAGTAAAGGTAAAGAAAAATGATTTAAGCCTTGCAATTCTCAAGAAAGAAAAAAGGAAACATGTTATTTTTCCTTAGAGCAATGACTATAAAAATCCTGCCATTATAAAAAGCTTCTTCTACCCCTTTGTGATATGTGCAAACCTTAACAGCCAATGAGCTTCTGCAACCTTTGTTCTTTAGTAACTCTTTGGACCTAGGAGCTCTCTTTAATATAGAATCATCTAAGGAGGAGCCCAGATGATTGCAGTTCTGAAGGACAGGAGAGCTTGACATGGGCTCTGAGAGGCAAATCTACCCCCTGTCATGAAGATGAGGCCTTTTACCTTTGTGCAAAACCACTAGGCAGACACAGGTAGGCAGGTGACCCAGATGCCTCTGGGGTGTGTGAGCACTGGCTGTCCCTGGTGCTGGCACAGCCTCTTCCCGAGGACTGTTTGTTGGTACAAGAAGAGTATTAGACATTTCTGTCTTTGCCTCCTTCCAGTGGATTGCCTCTGCTGAGCCTCACATTGGGGTTTAGTTCTTAAAAAAAAAAAAACAGCCTAAGTGTTTTATTTCTCTCCTCCCCCTGAAAAGAAGCCTTCTGAGTTGGAAGTTTTGTTCTCAAATGTAAATGTGCAATGTGATTCAGTCAGGCTTGTCCCTGGATTTCTCAGCACTTTATTTCTGACTATACCTATATTCACAATTACCCCACAATGGCCACTAGAATGCTTCCTGTTCTCATGTTAGTCACCAGTGATCTTTATAAGCACCCATCTCCAAGGAACCCAGTGGGCAGGTGCAACTGATATCCAGAGGGAGTCCCTACCGAGACATCTCCCAGGAAGAAGGGCCTGGGCTTAGCCTCATCCCTGGTCTACGTGATCCCCCTGCAAGCTACCAGTGAGGTCTCTGGACAGAAGATGTTTCTGAACCTGGGCCTTAGGTCTGGCTAGCCTGTACTTAGGTTTTAAACATTTTTACCTTTCTCTGACCCTTTTGGCAAACTTTCTGATACTCATCAGCTTTCCACTCACAGGACACAGCACCCCAATTTCTCTTTAGTCAGTACATCCACTTTCCCCATCAGCTAGCTGAGCCCCCTCTGCTCCAATCTCATTGTGGCTGCATGTCAGAGACAAGGCTTCTTGGCACACATAGGTATGGCCCTACTGTGAAAGGAAGAACAGGCTTCTGGAGGATGCTCTTCCACAACTCATCTTTGCCCTAAACTACCTGAACCAGGGCCTTTAGGCCAATCCACTGAGCCATCCATGACCTGCCTGGGAGGACCCAGTAGGATCCTTCCTTTGCTGGATCTCAGGGGCGGCTGGTTCCTACTGCAGCCTCATGCCAGGCCCTCTTCTCTACCAGTCCTACTCATGCCACCTATGAAGGATTCAGTTCACCTTTGCCCGTTCCCTCATCGATGCCTCCTTCTTCCTGCTTACCTGCACTAAAGCTTTCTCAGAACCTTCCAGGATACTCTAAATGCTGTAGATGTATATTTGTTCCTATTTCCTCACACATGGGGATATGATCTCATTGCTTCATTGACGTATCAGAATGTTTTTTCTCTGCCCAGAGAAAGCCTGGTAACTGGTAGTTATTCAGACATTGTGTTGCATGACTACACAAGAGATAACAAAGGTATATATTCTAAATTTGCAGGAGCTGGAAAGATACACATTGACTGCCAAGCTCAAAAGTCCCAGTCCTCCCAAAACCTTCTATTGGATTTGTCATTTTATTTTCAGAATCTAACCCTGAGCTGCCTGTGCCTCAGCTTGTGACAAGCAATGTAAATAAGGAGGGCTGAGATTCCTTTGGACAAAGTGTTGATTTTTTTTTAGCTAAACAGCCAGAGTGGAAATGTTAGTCCTGCCCCCAGTGTATCTTCACCTCCCTGACTGGGGATCAGAGTAGCATTTCCCAAAGACTCCAGGTAAGGCAGCCACTCTGCTCTAAGCAAATCCATCTAAATCATCACACTCTGGAATTTTTCAGATCCTCCCTGTGAGTTTAAACGATCTAAACCCCTTTTCTATACTTTTTTTTTGAGAAAATCTGTATAAACAACATTTACCTGTTTATAGGGTAAATCTTTGCAGCATTTATTCCATTCACAATGTGTGGCACAGCCACATTTATCAAGTCCCCACAAAATTCCATCAACATATTCT